CTCTCTCTCTCTCTCCCTTCTAAGACAAAAAATTATCAGCAAGTCAAATCTGGTATTTATTACATGGAATGAAGCTTTCAGCAAATACTGACATAGGGTCCTTTCTTATTCTATATCTTCTCTCTGTATAATACATATCAAAAAAATTAACATTAGAGTTAAAGATCAAATCTGGGCTTTTACAAATAATAGGAGTGAGAGGGCTATTGATAAGAGCAAAGAGAGCAATGTTTACATACATCAAAGAGACCAACGACAAAAAGAGAACAAACTTTCTAGAAAAAAATGATAAAATAATCTTCTACTACATTTGGAATATGATATGATTCAATAAAAAACTGCTGGTTTAATTTCTCAAATGCATATTTACTTTATACAAAACATGACACCACTCCCTTATTTTATGGTTATTTAAGTCTATCTTCTTGAAGTTAAAACTCATCTTACGTCATTCAAAACTAGCTGAGGAACAATTTGTCTTTTGAAATCCTTTTCCCTTCTCTTACACCTCAAGAATTTGAGGGTTAGCTTCATTTTTCTGTTTCCTACAAAGTTATATTTTTAGCTCGTTAGACTTTATGGCGCTCTATCTACCTGTAATTATGCTGCAAAAGCAGAAGAAGACGCCAGCAGCAGACAAGATAGCAAAAGGCCTATTTGTGGTCTTGAACAGCTGCAATCGGGCAGGGCGTGCCTGGCAAAGTTCCCTCTGATTCTGGCCAGCCATGACAAACCCTAAGAGCTAGACTTGCTTTCAGAACAGTCCCTAGCACAGGACATTATTTCACTGCCCTGGAAGCAAAGGGTGCAGTCCAAGAACAAGAGGGATGATTAAAAGAGTAACAGGAGAAAAGCACAGGGAGGGTGCGAAGACTGATGGCATTTGGAAGGCTCTCCAGAGCCTGGAGAACCACCACCCACCGTCCCACCCTCCTCTCTAAAAACAAAACAAAGCAAAACCACCACCACCTTCTTAGGGAAGGCCCGATGTTACCTTTAGTTCCAGCTTGGAAATACTGCCCATATAAGTTTTGAAATTTTTTTTTTTCTTAAAATAAGAAGTAATATCTCTACCTTACCCTGGATATCAAAAACAAGATGCTACTAATGAAATGTTTAGAAATGGGAATATTTTTCAGGGAATATTCTCTAGTGGACATCTTCTTCCGAGTTATGTAAAATTCCTTTTGTAAAGGACCATTATTGTCTTTGGAGAAATAAAAGATGCTTTTATATGTGCAGGCTTTTATAGCTCAAAGTCATTAGAGGCTTTTAGTCTTTATACAATAATCTTTGTACTGTACAGTGCTTCTGGCTCCTTGGTTTAAATTAGTGCTTTCTTACTTAGTGAGTAAATGTAATTGCAGCAAATTAGTATATTTATATCTATTCATCAGCAATATTGGCATATGATATAAATTTGTTTTGGAATTTTATACACATGCACACATTTCTTCAGAAGACTCAGAAAGGGTGGCAGTGAGAACAGAAATAGGAACAAGGGCATAAGAATTCCCAGAGATAAGGGTGAACAACCCAGACCACAAGAGTACTGGTGGCTAATGAAGACAGACTACCATTTCCTGGCTGGAATTAAGAGTTTTACATGCATTTAGGATAAGGGTTGCCAGTAACTACACCTTTGTGACAAACAGAAAGTTTCTCTTATTATGAGATAGATTGGCCCCCAAGAGGTCTTGAGAGAGAGAGAGAGAGAGAGAGAGAGAGAGAGAGAGAGAGAGAAAGAAAGAAAGAAAGAAGGAAAGAAGGAAAGAAAGAAAGAACATTCCTCAAAAAGATCTAGACATAAGTGTTTAAATAATTCAGACTTTACTTTCCATATGCCAATAAAGTCAACTTCTACTGAGAAAATGTTCCAATTTATTTTGTTATGCCGGCATTTTGTTGATGTTAATGCTGACTGAATAAATGTCTGAGGACTTAGAACTTCGAAGCTCTGTCACCAAGTCGATAATGAGGATAATGAGGATTCACAGATTTGTCTTATACTGAACCTCTCGTATAACACAATTTATATCACTCTATAATATGATCAAAGAAATATTTAGCAGCTAAAAACAACAAGAACCACCGCTACTTACGGTTGACACAGCTTCACCAGGTCCTGGTCCGTGGTGTTGGGAGGCAGTCCTCGGATATAGAGATTCGTCTTGCTTAGCTGATCCCATCCTGAGTTGCTACTGCTGCTACTGTTGTTATTACTGCTGGTGGTGCTGGGGCTGGGAGGGGCCATGGGGTGGGCTGGGACCAGAGACTGCTGAAAAACAAAGATCGAGCGTTAGAACAACACTAGATGGAAGGTATTTAGCACCATTCGGTTGCTTGATCTCCAAAATAAAATGAAGTTACCAAGATATAAATACAGATTATCTTAAGCTATTTAATATATACATTTTAATTTACACCGTAAAAAAGATCTGTTCATTCTCCCAAAAAAGCCTTCTCCTTCAAACATGAAATTAATAATCAGATTTATTCAGTCGACTATGCTCTATGTGCACTTTAAATATGACTAAATTTATGTAAGATTAATTTATTCACACATTTTTAAGGAATACATCTATTGAGACTCAAAATGAACTTGCATGAAGTTATGTGATAATATCATTTTAATATACAATAACCTGAAAATCACTAAACTTTCGAAAAGGTTTTCAAATTCTGAAGAAAATTTGATTGAAAGTTGCTGATCATTGTATTGACTCCTGGGGGAAAAAAAAGATTACTCTGCAAGTGTAAGAAAGTCAGAGTTCAACCAAGATGCTCAAATAAGGAAGACTTCACCAAGTCCAAAGACAGGCACACAGCTTCATTGAGACATCTGGATAAGATTTATAGGCATGCTGCCTTTCGCTCTGGCTAACCTTGTGAAATGTAAGCCCTATGAGAATGGTGAAGTGGTTGGAAATCTTCCCGGGCCTGAGAGCAACCAACATAACTTTTATAAGGCCTGCACCCAAGGGTTCAGTGTGGTTTCACGGTTAGCAGCCACCTAGGAAGATTGTCCAAAACTATACTCACAACAGATAATTCTCTGTTAACCAATCAAAAGTGGCCACACACTTCTCTATGCCTATGCCACACACATGACTTTTGAGGAAGTTAAATGGTTCAGTTTAAGATGGAAGTGAACACACTCCAAAGTGTCCTCACAGCAAATGCTCAGTGGTTTCATAGCAGAATAAAAAATTTTTCACCTCTCATCTTCTAAATAGTAAATATACTAACCCAAGGACATCACTTAAAAATCAGATGGTCACCAGACATTCAACAAAAATTTCAAATCTTACAGCTTGATTTTCACTATCGCAAACAAGAAAATTAGGTATATCTAAGATGCAATTAAATTTCACTTTGCAAAGTTCGAAAAGCAGACTCCCTTGGCAGTAAATGTAACACTGCTTAGCGGGTCAGCGCTCTCGACTATCCACGATAGATATCTGGCTCTGTACCCTGTCTCTGCCACGATCACTCTAATTCCTCAGTGTCCCAACACACTAATCCTCAGCAATCTGACATGTAACCATTTCTTCATGTCCTATACTATGCGGAGTCTTCTCACTCACTGCCCATGGTTCTTGCTAAGATCATCGAGTCCAAACACCACTTTATCTAAAGAGATTCTCTTTTAGAAGGACAGCAGCAAAATGCCCACAGTTCTTGCTAAGATCATCGAGTCCAAACATCACTTTAAAGAGATTCTCTTTTAGAAGGACAGCAGCAAAAAAGGTTAACAATAGTCAATGCATAAATAAAGGCTGACTTTGAACCAGGAATATCAGTACCGCTTAATCCAAGAAAAATCCTGCCTGACATCATATCTTCTCAAATCTCTTTGATTTATGGTCTTAATTAAGCAGTTGAACTCATATCCTCTCTTCTCATCCCTGGTTTTTCTCTAAGGGATGAAGAGTTCATTTTCTAGATGTAAAACTAAGAATAAGTCCTGTCCTTTGCTCTGCCACAGGTGGCACCCCGGCCAGCCAGCCAGCCATGCCACACAAAGGCCTGCATTCCTTCTCCGAAGTCACACAATATATCTGCTAGTTGCTACCTGAAATTAGCCAGGCATCCCCTATTTCTCACTTCAGTTAACAGAGGGGTTGGGAAGTAACAAATGCATCTGCCTGTCTCAAGCTTCCGATTACAAAGAACTTATAGCTGTAGACAAAGCTAGGCAAGACCAAATTTTTTCTTAAATCATCTTTGATTAATGTGCGAGAACCTGTCCTTGCCACGAACTACACTGTTCTCTGCAGTTGGACCCAGATGGTATGTTTAGCGCAGCTGCTCAGGGATCAAACAGGGATACTTGGTGGTAAGACTTGGAGAAGTCTGAAAGAAACGATGGGTCTGGTCCATCCCCATCTCTCAGTGGGATTATACCCACACAATGCAAATGAACCATCACACATTTTAAAGAGGCATGCCCAGTCTGCACCAGCACTAATCTCTGCTTTCCTCTGGGGTTGAAAGTGGAGAGCCGGGTGTGGACTTGTATGGTTACGAGAAACATTTTGGGAGTATGATTTACTTGAAGATTATTTGGACATGAAGGTAGTAGGTCTTTACTTATATATTTATCTTCGGAAGTAGAACCATGATTTACATCTCAGAATTTACACTGCTGATTTAAAATATCTTTGACAGGCCTCCGTATTTATTACAGTAATATTTTCCGACCCTGGAAAGTAGGTGGGGAGCAGATACAGCCTGTCCCCCGCCTCTTCCCCTCTGTTCTGCCCTAAGGGGAAAGAAATCTTCTAGTACTCGGATCCCAGTGGGGGAGAAGAAGGTTCCTGAATATACCGTGAAAACGAGGCCTCTGGTGAATCCTATACAGGACACATTCAAATTCAAATGTTATCCTAATATCAACTCTTTCCAAGAACTAGCTGAAGACAGAGAAAGATATCTGAAAGAGAGAAGCACTGAATTATTCTAGGTTACTAATGTTTTATTTCTTGGTACAGAAAACTTTATATCAAAGATTTAAGTTTTCACGACTTGCTAAAATTAAAATTTTAAGTCCTAATAAAGACTGGAGAAGAAAATTCAAACACAATAAAGCTGATTACTACTATTTAGAATGGGTTAATGATAATTTTTAAAGCATGGTTAATAATTACTTTCATATATTACATGTTTAATACGTGCCAGACACTGTGCTTTATGTCCATTATCCCACTTAATCCAAACAAGGCAGGTAAATTACTGTCCTCCCATTCTGCGGATTAGGAAACTGAGTCTCAAGAAGAGTTAAGTAATGTGCATGGTCACACATTTAGTAGGTGGCAGGGCTGGAATTTTAACGCAGGTCTGCGGAACAATAAAGCCAGAGAGCCCTGAAACGGCACTCTAAATGGCACTCCAAAACACTGTCAACTGACAGTCCTAAATGCCCTACCTGTAGTCTTTCATTTTCCTGTGCCCACCCTTCCCGCAACTTAGTTACTAAATCCAAGTTTACCTAAAATATGACAATACCATTGGTGGCTATGTTTTCCTAAGAAGAAGTGTCAAAAAGCCTTTAAATTAATGATCACACAGCCTGTGTGTGTGTGTGTGTGTGTGTGTGTGTGTGTGTGTGTGTGTGTGTGTTTAACAAACATAGCTTTAAAAAGATTGTTTTTAAAAATTCTACCATATTATCTTTTCATTAGCAAAAAAGTGTTTTACGGCTGAACATCAGCGTCAGCATTTTAGGAAAGCTCAACTCAACCAGTGAAGAACTGAATCCTCACTCCCAGGTTGAAATGCTCTGACAAGTCTTTAACTCCAGAACTCTCTGATCAATTCAAAGCAATTACACTTTGTACTTATGCCTCAATAGCACAAACGGTGAATTAAAAAAAAAAAAAAAAAAGGCTTACAAAGGGACATTTCACCAAACTCCATTTTCATCAGTGGTTATCCTTTCACATTTTGCCTCTCAAAGCTCCTAAGCTGCCCTGGAATTTGAAAAGACCTCCCTCCCCCTCCCTTGGTTGAAGTTTGTAGCTAATTTACCCGAGTTCAACCTAATTAAGGAACTATGGCTAAGTGCTGACCCATCCTGGCACTAGTAGTCTATCCCATGGCGTAGTAGCCTATCTCAGCCTTTTCGATCCAATTTCACTGCTTCGGGTCAGGTAAACGAGCTATCTATCAAAGCTGTCTATTCGAAGGCAGGGAAAACAAGCTAATTCAGTTTTCATGTTAACATTTATCTGGGCTTTATTTGCATGTCAAAACTGATAGAGAAACACAACTGGTTAATAAAGGGGGTGGCTGTATTAGGCTCTCTCTGCTGAGTGGGTGTGGGCACCAGCAGGAAGACTGCTTGTCAGCAATCAGGGAGGACTTCCTGTGTGGAAAGTACTCGGGGAGGACTTCCTGTGTGGACAGCTCTGATGCCTCCATTCCACCAGGAAGGCCCACTCGCCTCCTACACTAAAGACAGGATGATCAACAACAGGCACATGACAAGTACAAACACAGTAAATCTGTTTCCCTCTCCATCGCATCATACCCCAACCCCAGCAGCACGCTAAGTAGTCTCTTCTACATAAATGCACGTCTAAAAGTCTTTTACAAAAAAGGCAAAAAACTAACCATGTGTGAACTAAAATATATTAGTAATTATGTGCATTGTTGTAGATCTCTATTCAGCAAAGACAATCAAAAAATAAAGGCCTGTCATAAATTCTATTGTCTCATTTCCTTCCTATTTTTTTAATGAGCTAAAGAATAGTGCTCTGACCAATCTGATAGCCAAAGCTGTCCTCTCCCTCTTCCCCTTACTTAGTAACTTCCCTAAGAATTTTAATACATTTTGAAGGGAAAGGAAACCTAGAATCTGTCTTTTAATTACTCTCAAGTCTTCCTTAAGCCTACCAATCCTTATAGTTCAAGAAAGCTATAATCTATAACCTTCATTCCCACTCTGCAACACCCCCCACCCACACACTCACACCCACACCCACACTCACACGAGAGAGAGAGAGAGAGAGAGAGAGAGAGAGAGAGAGAGAGAGAGAGAGAGAGGGACCCCACCATCCCAAACAAAATAGCAGGAAAGTAAACATACCAACTCTTTCCTTTATCCAGAAGCAAAAACCATCACCACAGTTGCTCCTGAGAACAGATGTAAGCTATGGAACAGTACAATTTTCACCAGGATATAATATCAAGCCTGGCAGAAACCATGTACTACATATACCATATACTACACTACTTCCATACACTGTTCCTCTCTGTAACCTTCAAGATGTAAAA